TCATCTCTGTATGCTGCGTCATCGTTGTTATGGATAAGACCTACAAGAGTGGTGTCATCTGCAAACTTAATAATCTTATTAGAGCGATGAATAGGAATGCAGTCATGGGTGTAGATGGTGAACAGCAGGGGGCTTAGCACACAGCCCTGAGGGGAACCAGTGCTGAGCATCAGAGTGGATGACCGCTTGTCACCAAACCTGACAGCCTGTGGGCGATTGGTGAGGAAATCTTTGATCCAGCCACAGGTGGTAGGGGGGAGGTTCAGGTTAATCAACTTGGCTACAAGGATGTTCGGGATAATGGTATTAAAAGCAGAGCTAAAATCAATAAAAAGCATTCAAACGGAGGTGCCGGGGTTCTCCAGATGTTGCAAAGAGGAGTGGAGAGCATTAGATATGGCATCCTCAGTAGACCTGTTTGCTTTATATGCAAACTGGCAGGGATCCATGCTGGGTGGGAGGAAGTCCTTGATATGTTTTTGCACCAGCTTCTCAAAGCACTTGGTCACCACCGGTGTGAGGATAAAATAGAAGAAAAGTATAGCGATGGTGACCTTAGGGCAGCCTGGAAGGGTATCAAATGTATGGCGTCATGTAATCACCAAAAAGAGGATACGAAACCTATCAGTGTGAAATGAGTAGCTGATTCTGATCTGCCAATTATTTTTAATTCGTTTCTTGGTCGGTTCGAGAGGGGGGACCTTCTTGGAAAGATTGGGGTCTGTAAGGAATCCCTCAAACCTAGTGAGGGAATTGAAATTTCACAAGACCAAGTCACTGCCTTACTTAGAAGTAAAGGTGGGGGAGAGCTAGGGGCCCTGACGCCATCTGTGGCCGCACCCCGCACCACTGTGCCAATTAATTGCGCGGTGTTTTTAGCAGATTGTTTCAAACATGTGTGGAAGTGGGTCAGATTCCAACTTTGTGGAAAACTTTAATTATAATCCCAATCCCAAAATCAAGTACTTCAAAGGAACTGTCTGATTTTAGACCAGTAGCACTCACACCTCTTGTGATGTAAACTTTTGAGAAAATTTTAAAATCTGAAATTTTATTTCTGACAGAGGGGAAACTTGACCCACTTCAGTTTGCCTATCAGCAAAACAACGGTTTGGAGGATGCAGGGCTTTTTGTATTGAACACGGTCTACAGGCACCTTGATAGAATGGGGACTTGTGTAAGACTCTTGTTTGCAGACTTTTCTTCAGCCTTTAACAAGATGCAGTCCCACATCGTGACTGAAAGACTTGCCACTGTCTTTAATTTGCCTGATCAGCTTCTTTTATTGATTTTGAACTTTCTTACGGAGAGGATCCAGCGAGTGTTTGTGAACGGTCAAATGTCCCTGACATCAATGTCCAACACCGGATCTCCTCAGGGGTGCGTTCTGTCCCCCTTATTGTTCATTCTGTACACAGATAGTTGCCGGATCACTCAGAACAACAGGTTCTTGGTCAAGTTTTCAGACAACACTGTTTTGATGTCCTTTTTATGTACCTTATCGGAAAACAAACCGTTTCGCCAACTCCTGTGTTCCATCAGTTATTGAACTGCTTAACTCTGAGTCGGGAAGGGTGGCTAAATAACATTGGCCTTTAAGTATGTGCCCATTTTAGAGGGCTACTGCTCACTTATGATGTTTTCGGGATGTTGGTAGTGACACACATGTGATTGTGTGATGGATTGTTTGATGGATTGTATAAGTGAGTGATTGTGTTTTTCACAATGTTGATCTTGTGGTAAGCTACAAATTAATTGCCCCTTGGGGACCAATAAAGTTTTCTGATTCTGATTCTGATTGTGATTGTGATGCCGCTCACTTCTCTCACCTCGTTTTCTGAATGACTGCACGTCATTCAACAGGCAGCACGTTTATTTGTCCTTGAAAATTGGTCCAAGACAATCCAACACATTTGAAAACTCTGATTCAGGATCTGAGCCTGGCTTGCTTCTGACTAAAGCGCTTTTAACACACCACACATGGCAGGAATATCTAAGATTATATTTAGAGCAATTATGTCGGACACATCTTTCAGAATGTCAGAAGCAGAGAATTGGCTAAATAAAATTGTAGTTATGACCTCAAAGTGACGATGTGTAGTTTTTACCATTAATCTCTGCAAATATCCATCGAAATGTTGTAAATGAATTAAAAGATTCCCAGTTGATAAAAAATATGGGCAGTTTCATAACATATAACCATAGAAATCTGTTAAAAAACACATAGGAGCGGGTCTGAGTTTCTGGGCAACGCCATTTTGGATGACATGTTTCCTTCTACAGAAGCCCATGAGGAAAAAATGCATTTACTGATTTGTAACAAATGGTAACAAAACTTTCTCCACTAATAAACATTGCTGGAGTGATTCATCTCTAAATCAAACAAATCAGCTGTGTTCAAGATCTAACACATACAGGAAATGTGCTGGAACCAGACTGCAGAGCCAGGTGTGTCAGCTCAATTTTTTCCAAGTCCAACAGACCAAGCGGCAACTGTGAAGTTGCAAAAGCAGAATTCTGACCACAGGGGATGATAGGGGCTGGGCGGCCTTTCATTAACCCTGTAAAGGGTCATTTTAGCACAAGAAAATGATTTAACCCTCTCAGGCTCTAAATATGTTTTGATAAAAGGACGAACAGCTAGGTCCTTCAGGGGTACTTCTGAGTTTAAAAAATGCTCAAGAAATACGTATGTGGAGTAAACAGGTAGGTAGGTTTTAACTGTTGCAAATCTGCAACGCCTGCCTCCAGAGGGTTAAAAAATTATTTAAAAATATGAAAAAGTTGCAAAGTATCCTTTGAATCAGCATATTTCCAGCAATACCTGTTTGCCGAAAGTTTTGTGCAATATCAGATTTTTATTTGACTTCCACAAAATGCTCATTTTAGATTAGATTTTACAGAAAACAGGGACAGCTTGCCATCAAATTTAAACGCCATCCCTTGATAATTATGCGTCAGGCAGTATGCCTCGCTGGCTGCTTCTAGGCGAGTGACTTTCAAGTGCGTCGCTACCGGTTGCTCGCAAGTGATGTGTTGATCTACAATCCAATCCTCTCCGTTATGATCCTGATGTCAGAAAGAATACGTTTCCTCAGCAGAGTGGCTGGATTCATCCTCAAGGCTGGGGGGAAGGAGCTTAGAGTAGAGTCGCTGTTCGTCTTCATCAAAAAGAGCAATTTGAGGTGATTTGGTCAGCAGCTTTATAGGTTTCTGTCTGGTCGTTTCAGCTCTTCTGAAACAATCTCCACCTCAGATGTTCCAGGATGTTAGATGTGTTTTTCTAACTTTTCACAAATTAGAAAACAACATATGATATTTTCACTGTCAAAAATCAAAATAGAGGCACCCTTTATTGCCTGATTGATGACAATGCAAACAACATAACGTAGAAGTGAAGTACAAGGACAGAACTTAAAATCGTAAGAACATGTCCAAAATAGAAAAAGAGAGCAACAAAAGAACTATAAATAATGGGGAAAATCTCTCTGACGCAACTCTGGAGTTTAGGTGATTGCGTATCATCTTATCATTCCTTAGACATTCCACAGCTGAGTCACGGAGGGAGTAGTATCCAGTGGCTGAGCTGAATGAACTATGATAGCATGAAACTGTGACGTCTTGGAATGCCTTTGACCTGAGAATCAGGAATTCCAACCAGTGGAGCTCACCGGATATACTGTAACACCTCCACAGGTAAGTGACTTCATTACTTTTCACAGGTTTACTTGATACTTCCACCTTGTCTTAGTCTGCAATCAAAACTCTTTGCTCTCTATTAAACTAAAACTTCACATTTTTGACGTATTATGCTTTGCTAAGGAAGTAATGGTGAAGCAGGGTTATTCCATTGCACACAGCCAACTTTAATAAAGTTCCTGGTGTGGTGTTAATTTTGTGATGCTGTCAGATCCTTTGCTGCAGCATTGGTTCAAATGTCTGTTTTCTATTTCCAGAATGAGGCAGACAGAGTGGTGGTTTGGGACAGGACCCATCTGTTCCCGTCATCCATCCCATGGAGCCATCAGCCGGACCCAGGCTGACGTCCGGCTGGACACGCTGCATCAGAGCTTTCAATGGCAACATGCTGGATACACTAATTAAGCTTAAGCTGTTTGCCTACTTTTTCTGCATGGATGCCAACATCACAGCATGCCAGGAGCACTGAAAGTCAGGCTTTCTGAGTGGAGAGAGTGCCTTGAACACTTGCTGCAGGGATGCTCGGGGAGGGGTGTACTATCCTGAGAACTTTGGGACTGCAGCATGGCACTGTGGCGATAACAAAACAACAGAAGCCCCATAACAAGCAGCTCTAATGGGCACCACAACAAGGCTCTAACATTTCAGAAAAGCTCCGGCACTAACAACGCTCTTTGGTTCGGCCAGCTATCGACAGTATGAACACGAACTCTGTGTGGAGGAGAGAAATTGCTGTGTCATTAAGCTACAAAGAGCACACAAGCGAAGACAATGCCCTTTTAACATGGTGACACAAATTCATTTAACGCCAAATGTCCTCATCTTGCAAACGCCAGCATAAAACAAAGCAGGATTCAACACACCTGGTTTAATTACAATGAGGAAATATAGGCGATGGACAAGCCTTTTCACTGGGAGGGTAGATTACAGATTGCAGTAATTGCTTTTCCGACTTAATTAAGACCGTAGCCCTTTGACACAAAAAGCAGACCCAATATCTCAGATTTAATATCTTCTTTACAGCGGGAGCAAATTTCCAGAACATCAATCAATATGTAATTAGATTTGAGTCGTTTTAGTACATAAATAAATTATGGAAAGATCTCGAAGATGTGCGCGTTTCTGATTTGTTTCAAAATTTTTGCGTATTTTCAATGATGATTCAAAACATTCACAAACCTTTATATTTTTAAATGCTGAACATGTTCCTCAGTACAAAACAATAACAGTTCATGTTTAAGCTACAGAAAAAGTAAAATAGGAGAAAGTGAAGTGAAGCTGATAGGTGAAAATTGGCTCACCCCTCTCTGTTGTCTTCCTCATCTGGGTTGGAGATGAGCTGGGATCCAGCAAGGGATATGTCCAGAGCTGCCAAAGGCAAGTCTCTGTAGGTGAAGCTGACAAGCTGAACTGGAGCCACGCACTGATTATCCTCCTCCACCTGCTGGGAGATGACCTCCAGCTCTGAGGCTCCAACCTGGAGAGGAGCGCTGTGACACAGAACACACAACAGCAAATCAAAGGTGAAATTTCTCTTTTCTTCATTGTTATTCAAATAACAACTTGTCTCTCAAAGCATCTGAAGTTTCTTGTCCTTTAAATATATAAATCTTTGCATCTTTTGTATGTTCTGTGTGTTTCATCCAACTGCATTATGGTTCTTTTTTAACACAGCAAAAGTGTTATTTTTACCCTTTTTTGCTGAAGTTTCCGATTATCACTTCCTTCTCGATTATCAGTGCGCAGTAGTGATGTGACGTTCACAAACGAATCGAATCTTTTGAACGGGTTTTCAAAGTGAATGATGAGAGCTGGGTCCCTGCAGAGAGCCGTTCATCTTAACAAACCTCCCCGGAAGTCGGTCAAACTCACCCGCTCAAACCCCACCCACTGCTGTGACACCCCCCCCCCCCCCCCCCCACACACACACACACACACTCTTGGCTTCACTTCGTTCAACGGAGCCAGTCTTTTGAACGGCTCTTTGAGGTAAACGACCGACTAATGAATGGCTCCCATGAAAGAGCCATAAATCCCATCACTAGTGGACAGCAGAGGACGACATCTCTGTTGCCCGCGCTCTCCTCGCTGATGACACAATCCCATATGTGATCCAATGTGTAGACTCTATTGTCTCTGTTCATGGTTGTGTGTCCACGTCTTCTTATTTCTATGGCTTCCTTAATCCACCTTTTTTATTTCTGGTGTTCAGTGTTTATGATCCGGGTTCCTTTCCAGTCCATTATGTGGGTTTTCCTTGTGCAGTGGTCTGTTATGGCTGATTTCTTTACTGTACTTTCTGCTTCTTGTTTCGTGGCTCTTGTGTGTCTTCTATTTGTTTCTTTCTCACACTCTTTTCAATGTTTTATTGTTCGTGTGTTGAGTTGGCATCCGGTTTCTTCTATGTATGTTTTATTGCATAGTTTCCATGGTATCTGTACAAAACTTATGTCCTACTGGTATCTTGTCTTTTGGGTGTACTAGACTTTTTCTAACTGAGATGTATGGTGTTGTTTGTGTGTTTATGTTGTATTTTTCATTGTTGCCATTATTTTTTCTGTTATGTGTTTTATGTATGCAGCCAGGAGAGCGCGATCAGCAGAGGGCGACATCGTTCGCTGATAAACAGAAAAAGAAGGGATGCCACCAACAGCGACAAAGCTCTGAGGAAGGCTACAGTGATTGTCGAAATGTCAGCAAACACAAGGTAAAAACAACACTTTTGCTGTGTTAAAAAAAGAACTGTAATGCTGACAAATCTTTGCATTCCCATCTTGTTTCAAAGGGTCAGAACATTTTTGGGTTGCTATTCACCACTGCATAAAAGATTTAAACCTAGATTTTATTAGCATCAGTTGAAGGAATGCACTATGCACGTTGTCTTTCATAATTTAGATCAGCTTAAGTTGAGGAGTAATGGATTTTTAGTAGTGATGCACCGATATGAAATTTTGGGGGCGATACCGATATCCGATATTAATATCACTGTTATGGCCGATGATCGATATTTGCCGATACCAATATACTGACATTAAAGCTTCTAAAATCAGCAGATTTTGTATAGAAATAAATTATTAAAGCTGAATTTACATTATTATGTAAACACAACACACACACTTACGGTTCTGAGATGATTACATTCACTGTTCACATGACTAAACAAATACACATCACCCCCCTCACCCTCTGAAACAGGCAAACAAATGGAGACAAGATGGAAAAAAATATCGGTCATTAATATTGGCTTGGTTTTATTTATCAAACCGATACCGACATGTTAAAAAATGACTAACATCTGCCGACACAGATATTGATGCCAATATATTGTCCATCCCTAATTTTAGCCATTCTGGTCAAATCTTGTCTAATATTACTCCAAAATTTTGGCTTATAAAACTGACTGATGGAGAGCTAGTTTAAGCTTGCAAATGTTATTTAACTGTTGTTTAGGTTCATTTCTAAAGGTAATCCATTATAGATGACCTGGTCGTTATATTCAATTTAATAAAAAAAAAAAAAAAACAAAAACAAAATTCAGACAGATGGAAAAGCAGTTTCCTCATGGCACAAACAATGATGGTGTACAGACCCACAAAAAGGAATATTGAATCCAATTGTTTCAAACCTCTGAGTTTTCTTTTCCACGGCGCAAAGAAGTTAAAAAATAAAAAATAAAAAATTATTATAATAAGTCAACGAACTCCATGTTTGCAGTTTTATAGTTTATCAGTATATTTAGCTTTGCTTAACTTGGCAGAACCTGTCCAAGTATTGTTTTATCTGCAGGTGAACTTGAATATGTAGAGAGAGCTGCAAAACTGCAAGCTCAGCCAAGCGCGGGCAAGAATAGGGTGACCTGAAACAGGACACACACACACACACACACACACACACACACACACACACACACACTCACACACACACACACACACACATACACACATACACACACACACACACACACACACACACACACACACACACACACACACACACACACACACACACACACACACACACACCTTATATTCAGTGCAGTGAGTGCGGAGGCATCCATAACTGGAGTACTTATCAGCAGAGGAAGGCATTGATTACAGGGCAGTACTGAATAGCAGACAGAGGGCAGGTGCACCCTAAAACCTCTGTGTCGAAGGTGAGACAATGACACAAAACATTTGCAGGAAGATCAGTGATCAAACCCACTTTTTGGTAAATGTTAATGTTTCTTGAGTTTCTCTTTAGAAATTGAAGTTTTTGGTATATTCACAAAGCTTAAAAAAAGCATTTTCACTTCCTTTTACCTCTACATAAAACTGTTTTGTTTTTCCACTCAGTTTTGGCCCCAGTGACCAACCCCAACAGGGCACTGATCCTTCACGACAGACACAAAGTGTTTAGTGCATCAATATCACACCTCCAGCCAACCAGAGATGGCCAGGAGCCACAAAATGCAGTAGAGAATGGCAGATTGTCATCCTGAGGAGGGAGCAAGGAGCATCATACTCTGACGACACCATCTAAAGGCCAGGCTGTTTTCACAGGAATGTGATACTAATAAATGCCACCAGGAAGCCAAGAAAGGAATAACACAGAATGGCTTCAGGGAGGAGGTGTTACAAGTTTGCATCAAAACAGGTTAATGTTGCTAAAAGCAACTCTGACTCGCATCACAGGGGCCACATCCGGCAGCCATGTTTGTTTCAGTGTTCTGTGAGTAAATAAGCTTTAATGGAATTTTGAGCTTAGTGAACAAGTCAACTTTTATTGCATCATACAGCTTCTACTGTAACATATAATTAAAACTTGAAAGTATTAGTCAAGAACACTAAAACTGTGTGATCTCCAAACAACATAAAACAGAACACTTACAGTTGTGATCTATCATTGTGATGACGGGAGATGCTTCAGCTATTTTCTGTTTCTGTCACTTCACTGGACTGTGCTGCTTCCTGATGACCTGCTGCTTTGCTGAGAGCATCGGTTTCACCGTCAACAATGTATTTAGTCAGCTGTCTGTTGCTCCATCTCCTCTAACTATTTGGAGCTGAGTGTTTGATGCACCGTAATCCAATGCTCCTGCAAAAAGGGTTATTTTTTAATCAAATGAGCCATTTATTTCTACAGAATCACATTAGCAGGTGACATTTTAAAAAAGAAAGCTGACATTTAGATTAATTATAGGATCCATTATACTATTTTTGTTATATAAGAGCTGTTGAAGATAATTAATAATACGCATTGTTGCAATTTAGACATGAGTAAATTATTCATCACATTGTCACACCCTTTACATACATTTGCTATCAGTCTTTTAGTACTGGCATTTTTCCAATAAAAATGAAAACAGCAAAATAAATTCCTATTTATCATTTATGAATTACAGACCCATCTCACTTCTTTCACAACTCCCCAAGATTTTAGAAAACTTGCTTGTCATCAGAATTTTATCACTTGTCAAAAGTTTTGTTTTTGATCAAACAGATCTGCCCTGATGGCGGTCATGACCTTAGCTGAGAATATTACAATTGCAGTAAAAGAAAAAAATATGCTGGGTGTCTGTATTGATTAAAGTAAGGCTTTCGACACTATAGACCACTCAAATTCTTTAAAAGTTTCAAAGACATGGTACTCCTGACACCGCCAATGCTTGGTTGGAAAGCTGCCTCAGCAACAGAGACCAGTATGTGCACATAAATAATGTAGATTCTAAAAAGGAGTTCATCACTCATGGAGTCCCACAAGGTTCCATTTTGGGATCCAAACTATTTATTATGTATATTAATGATTTTTGTGAGGTCCTGGATAAGGTGAATTTTTTGTGCCTCTATTGCTCAGGCGACCTAAATAAACTTGTTGGCAGAAAGAACTTGCAGTTGTAAAAGGGTGGTTTGATTATTACAAATTTTTGATGAATCTGACAAAAACAAAATAAATAATATTTGGAAATAGGTAAATAAATGGTCAAATATTAATATCAAAACCCTAAACTGAACAAGTACAAACCAATACATTCTTAGGAATTATTGTTGAGCATTTAAAAGCAGCTTATAAAATATTAGAAGCAAAAAATATCAAATAATTTTCAATTAATGAGTAGAATTAGACCTGTTTTAGATACAAAATCAATGATTTTACTATAAAATGCATTTATCCTTGCATATCTGAGATATTATGTGGAAATATGGGGAGAAAATGAAACAGCAAATTTACATCGTTTTTTCTTAGTTCAAGAAAAGGCAGTTTGACGTATGAATCATGTAACTATTATGCACCAACAAACCATTTAAACATTTTAAAATTCTACCGTATTATTGTTAATCAGCACACTCTGACTGTGGTGTATTAGACACACCATGTTAATCATCTACCTAATATCCAAAGATGTTTGAATACGGATAAAGTGGATACATTCCAAGTAAAACTGGGATGTTCAAATAAAATAAAAAAAGTGGGCCAATAAATATAGACGATGTGTTTCAGTAAGAGGAGGGAGTTTAAGGAATTGTCTCGATGATGATGATGGATTAAAAAAACTTGTACTCATCGAAAACATTCAGAAAGCATCTAAATTGCAATTGTTTGGGAAAATACCAAGCACATGATGTTTGACCCGTGTTTATATTGCCTTGTTTAGATCTCAGCTGTATCGACACAGATTGTTGCTTCAGAACAGTGGAAAATATTTTGCATAATGTATTGGGTAGGCTTTAATGAGGTAAACTTCAACAAATTGTGATATGAGCAAGTGAATTGGCTCTTTCACAGGAGGAATCAGGAATCATATTTGTGATTATCTTGTTTCTTATCTTGTTTCTTTCTTTTGGTTATTTGCTTTTCTTTTCCTCTGATTATGCTCTGTGCAATGTTATGGCCAAATGAATGACGGACTGAATGAATGAATGAATAAATAAATAATGCTGCTCTATTTTACAATCCTACCCAGTCACCTCCACAGGAACTGTGTTTTTCGTTGGTATAAGCCACACAACTAAAATTGTAGGTAGTTCTCCTCAAAATGTGGCAAAATTTCTGTGTGGTGGAGTTGCTAATGCTAATGGTTAGCTTTTACTAGCTGAGGTGTTCCCTGCTGTTTCCTGGATGGTAAACCAACAACAGCCTTCCCCATCACGAGCCAATATGGTTGAGTCCATGACTGTAAACTGACATTGTGACATCCATCATTTGTGGTTTTGGCGAATTTGATGCAAGTTTAAAAGATCATAAACATTTGCCATTTATACTTTAAATTGAAGCTACTCCAGAATATTTCAGATTAGTTTTAAATTGAACCTTTGGTAGTGAAAATGACTGTATTTGTCTCCAGTAACACTCAAATTTCCCAGTGTTTCTTTAAAAGGATACTAAGCAGTTTTGGTTTGCTTTTAGCACCCCCTAGTGTCCATTAGTAAAAACAAAAAGATAACCTCACTTCGCTGTGCATTTGTTTTTTTCTTAATCTAACTGCTGAAATTTCTCTTCAACTTTAATTAGTGTCTACAGGCATCACTAAATCAAACCTATCAGCTGTGTTAATCTAAAACATGCAGGAAACGTGCTGGAATTATGCTAGCATGTCGGCTCCACTTTACTGTTTCTACCAGAGACGGGCACTCTGAAGTTGTAAGTGCGGTATTCTGATCACAGGGAGTGATGGGATCTGAGTAACATTTCATTGACAATGTAAATATAAACAATAAATAAACTGAATTGAATTAAAGGGTCATTTTAGCACCTACTGGCCCAAGAAAATTATTAAAAAACATGAAGAAAGTTGCATAGTATGCCTTTAAGTGTCTTAAAATGACCTATTTCAAATGTTAAATAAAACATGTCAAATCAATCCTTCGATTTTGTCGTATCAGATTGTCTAATAAACATATTTACACTGGTGTAAAACACCAGAAACACGAAGGCTAGCTTAAGGCTTTACAGGAGGATCACGTCTAAGAGCGATTGGGAAAAAAGCCCTTCAAAAAAAATTTCTGTGCATTTCTATCTGTTACTTCATAGCATCACCAACCCTCACTGGGATGACTTCTATTTTATTTGTTTTATTTATTTAATTATTATTATTATTTTTTTGGCTCTACTAAAAAAAAAAAACCATCAGCATTTATTACTTGGTCGTTGATGATTTTCATCAAATGAATTCCTAAAAATTGACCAGAAATTTGCTATAAATTGAAATAATCTGCTGGTCTGAAGCCCAGACAGAAGTCTCTGTTGGCAGTATCCTGCGCTTCGCAGAAGATGCAGCTGACTGAACACACTTTGCATTCACCTCTCACTCTGCTCCACACTACTCAACTTCCTCCCTTTTTCCCTTTTTTTCTTAGCTCAAACCTTTCTGCAATCAGAATGCAGGAGATGTCTGGAGGAACACACACGGAGTAATTATTAATAAGAGAAGATGACATGTGAACACCTTGAATGCTGAGAAAAGCCAGAAGGGAATTTCTGTCTTCGCATTCTCACATGTGAAAAATCCAGATCCAGGTTGACCAGTCAGAAATGTTACAATCTGTGTGGAGGATTTATTCACACAACACTCCAGCAGATGTTCTACTCACTGTGTGTTGCTCATGTCAGGGTCTTGTTGCTGTTCGCAGACGTTCACACTCACCAAGACCAAGTGTGAAATATAATTTTGCTACCGCAGCACACCTATAAGTACAGAAAATGTATTAGAAAACAGTGTGATTAAAAGAAATAAACAACATTAAATAAACTGTGAGATTTATCTGTTGAGAAAAATGATGAAAAATGGTTAAAAGTGTCATTGCATCTGTCAAAATACTGAAACACACAAAAAAGAAAAGTCACCAAGTTATCATTTAAAAATCAGTTCTTAAGCTGATCCTGGGAGAATGTTGCCCTAACCCCGGCTCCAGCTGCACAGTGTTAAACAATTTTCCTGTAGTGGATTTGAAATCTCCTCCAATATACGATCCGCTCCATGAACCACAAGCTCGGGAACATCACACCTCTTGCATAGCAAGTGCAGAGGGATGCTGGTTTCTTTGTGCCACAGCATAGAGAGCCATTTATGTCCGAGTCTGTGGAGTGAAAAGCCCAATCCAGCTGCTCAACAGAAAGCCACAATATTAAATTTGATAAAATAAATGATCTGTGTTAAATCAGGTGAACACACCAAAAGGACAGCACCAGAGTTATTAAACCACACTTTCTGATCTGAGGCTCCGCACACAAACCTTCAGACATTCACAGCCAACAGCTGTGGTGAAGCGTGTCTGAATAAATACTGCTCTGGACAAATCAACACAAGTCATTGAAGGGCTGAAAGTGTTGTTTCGCTGCAGTGCTTCAAATGATAGACTTTGGGAAGAGAAAATAGATGATCTGGTTGTTAGATGTGCACAAAGTCAACTAGGTTAACAGACCCAGAGATGGTTGTACAAACGAAGCATTTCTCGAGTTGAATAAACAGGAAATATTACATGCTGAATTTCTCCTATTAAATAACAACAGTCATAAGGAGGAACAGCTTATTTAGTTTTGGTTGTAAATCACTGAAAGCTATTTCTGCCCTATTTTTTCACGATTGAACACATTTAGGAGGTAATAGTAATCATTTCTTTGCAGAAACAGTGGTGAGGCTGTTAACATGTGGAGCTTAGAGGCCTCCTTCTTGTTTATATTCAACACAAACACACAAGAAAAGCATGAAAACGACACACAAACACACATTAACCTCTCGTGTGGATCCTAGATTGTGTATAGAATGGTCTTGACTCCTTTGCCCCAGGGGTGATGATATCTCCCCCTTCGCAGATGATGATGATGATGGTGATGAGTGATGCTCAGATCGTCTTGTGTGTAGGTTGCAATCAGCCTTGAATTTGCGCCGACCACGCACCCGTATCGCCTCTCAGAGGACAGCGCTGGATGAAAACACCTCCGGGCTGGAAGCACCATCCTTCGGCGGAGAGGACGGGGGCTGTCACCGAATCAGCGAGATAACGGCATCTTAAAGGAGGGGGGAGGCACGGTGTGGTCGCAGGGCTTCCCCCACGTTCACACCAGGAACTCCATCAGCTCCTTCGCCCCCCGACGACAAAAGGAAACGACCCGGGGAGCTGTCCAGGTGCTGAAACGGGGACTCCAGCTGTTAAAGATGCGCGGTGGGCGGCGGCAACGCGGGGGAAACGGATGCTAAGTTTTCTATTAAATCAAATAAACAAAAGAATAAAACTGAAGGGGAGACTCGTAACTGAATGATAATCCACGGTGAGGACTTGGGGGCGGCAGCATACTGTACGTCCCTGTGTCTGAGCCTCCCTGAAAGCGTCGACGTAAAAAAGCTCTCGCTCTGTGTCACATCTTGAGTTCCTCGCGATAACAACGCAAACGCACGACAAAGGAAAAAGATCTAGTTTTCTGTGGGTTGTAAATATATGTAGATTTTCCAAGATGAAGTTTAATATTTTGTTCGCACATTACAGAGCCTTAAAAATAATAAAAAGTAAGGAAATAAAGACATTGTTGTCTTGATTAAATAAATAAACCATAAAACGTTTTCTCTTTAGAATTCTCTGCTAATGGATGTTTTCGCAGTCTCTTCTAATCTGACTCAAAATCTCTTCAGATGAAATGAAACGGACTCTTTCTGTTCTAATAACTATTCTGTCTCTCCTCACAGAAATTATTAAATAATGGTGATAATAATAAAATAAGTGTAGTAAAGTTCAAAGTGACAGAAAACTCATTTTTAACAATAACTTGAAAGCTTTTTTAAGTTATTGTCAACTTTAGAGCCTTATGGGGAGGCTAAACTGTGAGATTTGTCTCTGATAATAAATAGAATGGACTTTATTAATCCCACAGTGAGAAACTGACTCCTTACAGCAGAACATAAAGAAAAGGAGGAAGCAAACTAATAACAAAAGTTCTACAGGTAAGTACACATAGGCAGTAATATATTATGGGCCATTTCCATCTGTAACGGGTCGGCCCGGGCCGGGTAGTCCCAGTCGGCCCCAGCCTGGCCCGGTTGATTCCACACATCCTTGTCTTAAGCCCGTGGGCTGATTCTACCCACCAGTCAGAGGCTTGCTCTAATGGAAGGTGTGAATTTGCTGTCATCAGCAGTGGGTGTGTTGGCCCTGGTCGGCCTGAAGCAGACCCCCTCGAGAAGAGGGCTGAGAATGAGCCTTGGTTGGCCCGGAAAAATACCAGGCCACCCAGATATGTAAACAACCTACGCTACCCAGCCCGGGCCGACCCGGTACAGATGGGAATGGCCCATTGTTACTCCTCTGCCTCCTTTAGTGATAATGGTACCTGTAATAAATGTAGCATTTTTGTAGCTTTGGAGGCGAGGGTGTCAGAATTGGAGTCCCGGCTCCGCGCTGTTGAAAAACCCATAAACAGCAGTAGCTACTTAGCTAGCGCGGGGCTAACTAGCTCAGAACCACCCCGTAGCGGTCCTCCAGTAGAACCCGAGCAGCCGGGACCTCAGGCCGGCTGGGTGACGGTACGCAGGAAGCATAGAACCCAGCCCGTGGGCCACCACCAACCCATCCACGTTTCTAATAGATTTTCCCCGCTCAGTGACACACCCACTGATAAGCCGACTCTGATCATTGGCAGCTCCATAGTTAGAAACGTGGCATTAGAGACTCCAGCAACCATAGTTAAATGTTTACCTGGGGCCAGAGCGGGCGACATAAAATCTTATCTGAAACTGCTGGCTAAGGATAAGCGTAAATACAGTAAGATTGTTATTCACGCTGGCGGTAACGACACCCGGTTACGCCAATCGGAGGTCACTAAAATTAATGTTGCTTTGGTGTATAAGTTTGCCAAAACAATGTCGGACTCCGTAATTTTCTCTGGCCCCCTGCCTGATCGGACCAGTGACGACATGTTTAGCCGCATGCTGTCCTTCAACCGCTGGCTGTCTAGGTGGTGTCCTGACTAAGGTGGTTAAAAATCTCCTCTGTGGCAAGGCTCTAGGAGTGGATGAGATCTGCCTGGAGTTCCTTAAGGCTCTGGATGTTGTGGGGCTCTGTTGGCTGATGCGGCTCCGCAATATTGCGTGGACATCGGGGGCAGTCCCACTGGACTGGCAGACTGGGGTGGTGGTTCCCTTATTTAAAAAGGGGGACCACAGGGTGTGTTCCAACTACAGAGGGATCACACTCCTGAGCTTTCCTGATAAGCTCTATTCAGGGGTTCTGGAGAGGAGGGTCTGTTGGATTATTGAACCTCATATTCAGGAGGAGCAATGTGGTTTATGTCCTGGCCGTGGAACACTGGACCAGCTCTATACCCTTAGGGGGATCCTGGTGGGTGTGTGGGAATTTGCCCAACCAGTCTACATGTGTTTTGTGGATTTGGAGAAGGCTTTTGGCCGCGTCCCTCGGGGGACCCTGTGGGGGGTACTCCGGGAGTATGGGGTACCAGGCCCTCTGATACGAGCTGTTAGGTCCCTGCATGACCGGTGTCAGAGCTTGGTCCACATTGCCGGCAGTAAGTCGGGCTCGTTCCCGGTGAGAGTTGGACTCCGCCAAGGCTGTCCTGTGTCACCGATTCTGTTCATAACCTTTATGGACAGAATTTCTAGGTGCAGCCAAGGTGTGGAGGGCATCCGTTTTGGTCGCCTGAGGATCAGGTCTCTGCTTTTTGCAGATGATGTGGTCCTGCTGGTTTCATCAGAACGTGATCTTCAGCTTTCGCTGGAGCAGTTTGCAGCCGAGTGTGAAGCAGCTGGGATGAGAATCAGCCCCTCTAAATCTGAGACCATGGTCTTGATTCGGAAAAGGGTAGAATGCCTTCTCCTGGCCAGGGATGAGGTCCTGCCCCAAGTGGAGAAGTTTAAGTATCTTGGGGTCTTGTTCACGAGTGAGGGAAAACTGGAGCGCAAGATCGATATGCAGATTGGTGCTGCATCTGCAGTGATGCGGGCGTTGTACCGGTCTGTAGTGGTGAAGAGAGAGCTGAGTCAGAAGGTCATGAGCTTTGGGTAGTGACCGAAAGATTGAGATCGCAGACACAAGCGGCCGAAATGAGTTTTCTCCGAAGAGCAGCTGGGCACTTCCTTAGAGTTAGGGTGAGAAGCTCGGTCATTCGGGAGGGGCTCGGAGTAGACCCGCTGCTCCTCCACATCGCGAGGAGCCAGTTGAGGTGGCTCGGGCATCTGGCCAGGATGCCTCCTGGACGCCTCCCTGGTGAGGTTTTCTGAGCACGTCCAACCGGGAGGAGGCCTAAAGGTAGACCCAGGACACGGTGGAGGGACTATGTCTCTCACCTGGCCAGGGAACGCCTTGGGATTCCCCCGGAGGAGCTGGCCCAAGTGGCTGGGGAGAGGGAAGTCTGGGCCTCTTGCCTTAGGCTACTGCCCCTGCGACCCGACTCCGGATAAGCGGATGAAAATGGATGGATGGATTTCCTTTACTAACACAGGTTGATTAGATATTTTATTCCAAGGGAACATTTTAAATAACTTTATTTTACTTTTTCTTTTTTTTTTCAAATTTACTTTTTATTGAAAAAGTACATTGCGCATTATGCATTAAGCACATTAAAATTACAGTGTATTAGCTTTTCCATTTTTAAGGTAAAGAAAACATGAACAAAAAAAGGGAAAAGAAAAAACAAAACTGAACATGTTGAGGAGCATTGTTTCCATTCAAGCATAAATAAAAAGGAAATTTACTTTTCATGTGAAATCTGATCTTACAGGCTTTACATATTCTGTCCATTTAGACCAAGTTGTATAAAAGACATCTAGCTGCGTTTTCAGTGAATAAGAGATTTTTTCCATCGAGTAAATTCCTTGTACAATGTCTATCCAATCATCTATTGATGGTCGAAGAGGTTTCAGCCAGTTTCTGGTTATAACCTTTTTGCTAGCTGCCAACAGAATGTACAGTAATCTTTTGTCCTTATTGTTAAGGCCATGAATTGCAGGCTTACCCAAGTACACATTTTCAAAGCAAAGTGGGAAAACAACCGAAAATATATTTTTTAGATGTTGATGAATATTAGACCAGTATTCCTTAACAATCGCACATTCCCAAAATATATGAAAATGGTTCGCTCCACTGTCACCACATCTCCAGCAAGCATCACCTATTCCTTGGTGCTTTTTTTGAGCTGGTGTTATAAAAAACCTCATTGTGTTCTTCCAACAAAATTCACGCCAAATGTTTGATGAAGTAGTGATCCATTGTGTACGACAGATATGCTCCCAGTCCTCCTCTGTAATTGTAAATCGTCCTTCTCTTTCCCATTTCTCTTTTATATAAAATGTGTTCTCGTCTTTACACGACAGGATACTATTATATAATTTAGAAATTATTTTGGTGGGTGATACAGATTTTGTTAGCAGTAAAAATGTTTGAAAAAACCCCTGACCTGCCGTGGGCATCTTGATTTTCTGATTGAAATAGTGCCTGATCTGTAGATATCTGAAAAAATCATCAGAAGCTAAACCATGTTTTTGTTTTAAGTTGTCAAATGTTTGAAACGCCCCCTTGTGGACAAATGAATTGTAGTCAGTTAATCCTTTTGTAATCCATAGTTTGAATCTGTCATCATATTTATTCGGAGTGAACTCTGAATCATATGCACACCAACGGAAAAGTTTAGAGTCCTCCTCCAAGTGACAAATTTTTATGGTTTCATTCCAGACTGTAAGTAAAATGTTTGATAAGTATTCATCCTGAACCTTTATTTGTTTCTGTAATTTGATGTCATTTAGTAAAGCCTTCAGTGGTATGTTTTTGACAGTTCTCTTCTCCAGATCCTTCCATCCTGCCGTGTAAATTGGAGAACACATGCACACAAGAGGCCTCAATTGAGCAGCATAAAAATATTCTCTCAAACATTAATTGTAGGGTTTTGTATTTCGTTCTAGGTTTTTTACCTCTCCATATGTACCTTGATATCATCTTGTCCCATATTACAAATTGCTCTTGTGGTACAAGGAAGGGTAAACATTGAAATAAATATAATAGTCGTGGGAGAAGATTCATTCTAATTGAATCAATCCGAGAGTGTAAGTCTAAGAAGGGTATCATATCCCATCGTTTTAAATCTGACTGCAGCTCTGTGGTAAGTGGTCTATAGTTCACGTCATACATTTTTGTGAAGTCTCTATGCAGAACTATACCTAAATATTTGATTGAATCAGCTTTCCATTTCCATTTATAGTTGTCTGTAATATTTTGAGGAGGATCATAATTTAATGTTAAAACCTGGGTTTTGTTTACATTAATTTTATACCCTGAAAGGGTTCCAAAATCTTCAAGTGTTTTTATAATTAAGGGTAGGGCCTGTGTTGGTTGAGTGATGG